TATGTGGGGAGTGTGGTTATGGAGTGGGTGTGTGTGCATGGTGGGGTGTGTGGGGTTTGTGGGTGATGTGGGTGGGGGTGTGTGGAGGGGTGTGGGGTATGTAGTTGGGGTGTGTGGGTTGGGAGGTGGGGGCAGGGGAGTGTATGTGGGGACTGTGGAAAGGTGTGGGTGCATATGAAATTGCCTGGCAGGCCAGATCCAGCCCATAGGCCTAATTTTGCCTGCCCCTGGTCTAGATGAAACTTCTGTAAGGTGGGTGGATAACTGGTTGGATCATAATGCACAAAGCATCCAGTTTGACAATAAGCCTGTCATGATGGTGGAGACATCAAGTCAGATTCCTCAGGAGTCCATTCTATATTCAATACTAGATCATTTCAGGTAGATACAGCTGACCACTTTCTTCAGGTATATGGGATTTGGTATCTACCGCAGTTCCATCCCCAGCCCCTGAACTCCAGGTATATGGGATTTGACATATGCCTGAGCTCCACCCCGACTTTTGTTTCCCCCCTGAGTAAAGTCTCAACAACTTCTATTTCTGGAGGAACAACTATATTTTTAAATCCAAATTTAGTTTATCTTTGAAATCACTTGAACAGCAAGTATTTTTCCAGTCTCCACGCTCTATACAGCACAGCTGTCAGGTGCCAAAAGTACCCCCTGTTCACGCTGGATGTGTTTATTCAGAGTTTCTCTCATTTTTAGTCTTGTCTAGAGGTCTTTCTTTCCAGCAGTAGCCCTTTTTTGAGCATTATCTTAAATATGTTCAACTTTACTGGGCAAATGAGAAGTTGGACAGTTACTCTTTCAGGCTTTCACTCTGTCTTTGCTCTCTAAATTAGTTCTTTGCAAACTCACTGCAGATTATTAAATTTTGGGAAATTAGAAACGAAGGAAAAATCAAGGCTATGGTATCATGAAGTGTATTTTATTTGAAAATTCTGACAAGCAAAGCTTTCCTTTTATTTAGAATGTTTTGTTGTATGCTGCTAAATGTGCATTGCTAGAGGGCCTAAAAAATTACCTCAGCTATTAGCCAAGGAGGAACTAGAAATTTTTCTTCATGAGTGGTAGAGTCTAAACCAGGGATGGAGAGAATATGGCCTGCAGGCCAGATCTAACTCACCCGGCCATTCTATCCAGCCCATAGGGCCCCTAAAAATTTTAGTAACTTAATATTTATTTGCTTCTGGCTGCCTGTCCAAGATGACAGGAGCCAGGGGCAGTAGGACCCAGGGGGAGCCAGCAGTATGACGCCGCAACTCAGCCCCACACCACTCCCAGCCTTCCTGCCCCTGAACTGTTCCAGCACCATGTGGCTGCCAGCTGCATCGCTGAGCCATGGGAGCACAGGGCTATGCCAGTACCCCAGGATGTGTGTGTGTTTAGGGAGGGATAGAGTATGTATGTGTGAAAGACAGAGAGTGTGTGTGTGTGTGTGTGTGTGTGTGTGTGAGAGAGAGAGAGAGAGAGAGAGTGTGTGTATGTAGGGAGGGGCAGAGTGTGTGTTTGTATTTGTAGGGTGAGTCCCACTTGCACACCGCACCATACACATGTGCCCATATACCCCCTCGCATTGCCATATGTGCAGATCCCCACACCCCCTCACACAACCCAGCCACCCACATAGCCACACACACATTCACGTGCTCCCTCACCCCACATTCACACCCCGCAGACCCCACGCCCCATGGCCCTCACAATATACAAGAGTGAGACTTCATTTTAAGCTATTATATACAATCACCTCTATGCACACTACACAAACACATGTAAACCATGACAAAAATATTTTTTGAAATCAATTAACGAATGTTGTAGACGTTCACTTTTTAGAATATAATTTGGTATTTTTCTGGTTCCAAAATGGGAAAACCCCTTGCTGAAAGGAATATTTCAAGGGGCAAGGGTAGGGACTTCTGGTGACAAAGTTCAGGGGTTGGGGAACAGGACTTCCAATCACAAGATGGCAACCAGGGGGCGGGGCACCTGTCAAGGGGTGGAGCTACCCATGCAGCCCTCTACAGCTTGCCAAAACTCAGTAAATGGCAGTCCACTTGAAATAATTGCCTGCCCCTGAAACCATCCATTTCTGTAAGCCCATCCATTTTTAGTTGAAAAAATGACTTCCCAATTATAAACCAAATTTAAACCAGCGCAGCATAATGTCATTGAGTCTAGAGTCAGGAAACAGTTCCTCTCTCTCCCAAGCTTTTTCCAGTAGGCATCTGTCTGTCCTGCAAGACACCAGAATATACGAAGTGAGACAGCTGGCTGAACATAATCCTTGCTTTAAAATAAAGTGAAGCTGGAGTGACCTCTCCATGGCGCAAAAGCCTGGGCAGTGTATGTGAAGACACTGAGCTGCCAACACACCAGTGTTCCCCTCTTGGCCTTGCTGGTTTAATCCAAAGGAAAGACAGGTGCCAGTCCATCTGCAACCAACTTGGCTGCAGGAGCTGCCAAAGCAAAGGAGATCACCCATTTGTCCATCTGTCAGGGCTTCACTCCTGGATTGCCTGCTGACCAGGGTTAAAGAGGCAGCAGTTCCCCTCTCTCCCTAGTTATTTCCAAGATTTTCAAAACGCCAGTCTTCAGAACTAGTGCTTTAGATTAGAGCCATCTCTCCCTTGAATTCATTAATTCATTATAATGTTTGATGCACAAATTTAAAGGATTCCTAGTCAAAAAAGTCAATTATACTTACTGGAAGTAATAGCACATTTGGATATATTCATATACTGCTCTGTAACTCTTCCATTGAGTTTGAAACAGCAGTTTTATTATGATCACATTAGATCACTTCTGTCACATGTTTCAGCATCAATCAAAATTCCTTCTGGAAAAAAAATAGTGAATTTTGCACATATTCTTCTAGAAGTAAATCACTTAGCCATATGTTCCCTGCTGTCATATGGAATGGAAAGATCAAATTTGTAATGCATTGTTACTAAAAGACTGTATTTAGATGGCAACAGCCTGAAAAGCATGTTTCTGGTAGCATTAATAATCATCAGTATCCCATGGATGTCATAAATGAGAGCATTTTCAAAGTAGGTGGGAAAGCCTGGAGCAAACTCAGGTGATACATATGCTAACCTTTAACCACTGCATATGGTCAGTCTCAAGTCATTCACAAAACTATGCTTCCTTTGAGCAGGAACACTTTGTGCACATCAGACAATTCAGCAGTGTTTCTGACTTTTTTTGTGTGTGTCCCCTCTTTCTCCTCCCCATATTAGTAAACCTTATATTTTCATAACCCATGTGCCCCCACATGCTAGTTCTGCTCCTGTCAAATCTGCAGAGGTTGTAACTTCCCTCATAGTCAAGTTGAACACAAGGGCTGGGTCCACACGAGCATGGACGTTTGGTGCCTTGGGGACAACTAGCAGCAGGACACCTTGTGCTGCTGCTAGTTGTCCCTGGGGAACACCTGTGCTGCATGCCCTCTGGCACATGGCAGGTTACCTCAGGTGGGGTAGGGGAGGCTGGGCCAGCATTGGGCCCCAGCAGTCTTACCTGGGGTTCTGGGGGCCTCCTAGGACTGCACCCGATCCTGCTGCTCAGAGCCTGGCCAAGAGCTGCTGTTCCAGCTGGTCAGGCTCTGGTTTTGAGCAGCATGTGCTGCCCCTGAACACACTGCTCTACTTTTTTTTTGTGCATGATTTTTTGACCCTGGGATAGCCAGGGGTAAACCTCCTCCATCCCATACTGTTCCCTTGCAGTGCAGAGGACAGGTGAATATGTGGTATGTAGTGCCACAGACATGTCTACAGCATCACATACTGCATGGCTGCGCTCATCTGGATGCAGCCAAGGAGGCTGCTTAATAATACCAGGGTCCAGCAAGGGTCTCCCATTGCAAATGAAAGGCAAAACATCCCTCAGGTGTTGGAAGGAATAGAAAAGAGCTGCAAGGAATGGTGGCGGGGGAGAGGGGAGAAGGAAAGAGTAAGCTGGAGATCTGATTTGAACAGAAGGAGACAAATTAAAAGTGTGTATATGTATGAGACAGAGAGAAAGTTAGGTCACTAAGGAGACATGGAGGAGTAATGAGGATCTTGGGAAATGGTGATACCACCATTAGAAAGGTGTTAAACATGCCCAGAGCCACTGTCATGGATATACCCAGGATTGAGAGCATGCCCCAGTGCTTAGGTGACACGGGTGGGGTGGGGTGGGGGGTACAGGGGGGCACATGCCCCCCCTGAAATTGGACCTCACTGGCTGGGGACTGGCTGGCGGCACTTCTGGTTGCCGCCGACACTTCTGGGGTCAGCAATCAGTCTCTGAGGGACACCATGCCCCCCGCCGGCAATTGGCCACTGGTGTCCCTGCCAGACTCAGGAGGCACCAGTCACCCAGGCTCCAGTGGCTATGTGACATTTGACATTTGGACATGTGGAACAGAGCTGAGTATGTGGAGTAAGCTGTTGTGGTGGCACTCCCCAACAGGGTCTGGAGTGGAACAAAACACCTTTGCGCACACACTTGGCTGCCGTGGTAATTGCCTTTTTGTCTCTGGGTATCTCAGTCCAAGCTGAGGAACTTTCACTTGCACTGATGAGACCTGTGAGAGTGTTGTCATCCTTTTTTATGGGGACAGTGCAGAGGGATCTTCAGAAGGAATCTGTCACAGAAATTTTTCTCCCCAAAAGGCTCTTAACTTTGGCTTTCAGTGTGTGGTGTGGCAATTTGATGGAGATTTTGTAGTGCAACCCATAATCTTTAATGAATCGCTGAGTTAAGTCAATAGCAGGTGGACTAGAAAGTTGTGATATTCAAATTATTTCAAAACAATTAAACTGTTATGAAATCTTTTTTTTCTGAAAAAAATTAATTACTTTGGCAGGATTCCAAGCAGGTAAGATGACAGAAATTGTTCAACTGACCCTAATTCAATGCCTTGTGCCCTTTGCTCATTGGACTAAGCCAAGAAGGATCCTACTGGAACTCACAATATTCACCAAGATTTTCTTTTCTTTGTTTTCCAGCTTTCATTTGCTGCAACCACCCCAGAATTAGCTGACAAGAAAAAATATCCTTATTTCTTCCGGACAGTGCCATCCGATAATGCAGTGAATCCTGCAATTTTGAAGTTTCTCAAATATTATCGGTGGAAGAGGGTAGGAACTCTAACTCAGGATGTACAAAGATTCTCAGAGGTAAGGTCTGCTTAACATGCATTATGAGCAAATAGATGGTAATGTCTAATGCACAAGGTGCTTCTTCCATCATTAAAAGCAAATAAGGGAGAAGACATATTTGAATTGTTTGAATCTGGTTGGTTTTCATTGCCAGATGGCATTTACTGTACTTGGTGTTTGTCGCTCTTTCAGATTTTGATACCCGTATTCCTGAGCTGATGTGTAGCCTGCCAGTGCAGATGCACCGCTATGTAGGTGTGTGCAGTGAGGCTTAGCTGGCACAATGTATTGTAGTGTATGCAGCTGCAGTGCACCTAAAAAGGGGGTTTGCACACTGTATTTACACTAGTTTAAAAATCCCTACTGTAGACAGGGCTTGGTAACCTTAATGCTGTCTTAGTGGCTGTTATCTCTTTCAAGATTTTAGGGCATCTTCAATGCAAAAAAGGGGTGTCTTGTACATCTAGATACCTGTCTCAGTATAAGAAATCAAGAGGCGGTAAGGCGTGAGTACTTTTTCAGCTCAGTGTCACGTCAATGAAAATCCTATACTATGCACCTGGGTTTTACCTCAGCTCTAATAAGCTAAATTCCACCTGTGCCTCTGCTAGTTTTTTTTACATCCAGAAAGGTGTCATAAAGTACACTAAATACCATTTTGCAATGGAGATGAAGTCTTAGAGTTTCAACCACATCTTATTTTACATCCTTAGAGTTGTAAAAGTATTGATTTTGAAGGAAACTCATCATTGTTTGGTCACTGATTCAGTTAAAAGGTAAATCAAATCCAAATCTAAGCTTGTTCCTGCTTTTATACCTCGAAGCTCATCTAAGTGTCAGTTAGGACACTGAGGCCAAATATGTTTTTCTGCTACGTGTATGCTTGAAAAGCTTTCCTGGATGGAAATAGTGAGGTAGAAATGGCTGTCCCCCATCAAAACAAGAGGGAGAAATATTTGCAGGTGCCTCAGTTTCTCTGTATTTTGTTATGAAGGGCTACTCTAGTGGCAGAATACAGGAGTCTAGGAAGTATGGGCCAAGGCCCAGATCCCCTTTTTCCCCCTCAAAGACAACTTAGACTTATAGCTGCCACTCGTCCCAAACTTGTGTGCCTCCCTCAGTACGGTGATCCTATTTCACTTCTAAGATGTCTGTCACTGGACAGGCTAACATACTTCCAGAGAAGAAGAGATGGCATTCACTGTACATGCCTTTTGCCAAATAGGCTAGTGGGCAAGACACTGGCCCAGGAAATGCGAGGCCTTGGATTCAGGCTGGCCTAACCTATCTTCCAGGACAGTGGCCTAACAACCAGCCCACAGGCTAGTTTGGATTTAGGGGTAGCACTATTTACCTCTGTGTACAGTGCCAATGTAGGGCCCAGTCTGGACAGAGGCAGTGCAGGGCACAGTCCAGGCATGTGGGACCAGGTGGAGGCAGCATAGGGACTGATCTGGGCATGCAGAGCCTGAGCAGAGGCAGTATGAGGCATGGCCAACATGCATTGGGCCTGATCTAGCCTGCAGACCAGCCCCATGCCAATAATCTGGCCTGCAGGGCCAAAAGGTTTAGCACCATGGCCTTGTCCAGACGAGTGTGGCCGTGCAGTATGTGGGGCCGCAAGCATGTCTGTGGCACCACATACCGCACATTCAGATGTTCTCCATGCTGCAAGGGAGCACTGCCTCTGTGTGTGGTGCTCCACGTTTTTTTTTCCCTCCATTTTTTTAACCCCTGAATATCTAGGGGTCAAAAAAACCTGTGGAAAAAAAAGCACAGCAGCACCAACACAGGCAGCACGTGATACTCAAAAGCCAAACTGAGAATCGCCGCTGCTGCAACTTCAGGAGGCTCCCAGTACCTCAGGTAAGGCTACTGAGGCCAGCCCAGTGCTGGTCCCAGCCTCCCATACCCCACCTGGGGTAACTTGCCATGTGCCAAAGTGCACAGGGCAGGAGTGTTCCCCAGGGAGAAGTAGCAGTGGTGCAACGTGTGCTGCTGCTGCTTGTCCCCAGGGAACCAAACATCCACGCTCTTGTGGACACAGCCCATTGGTCTAACATGTAAATATATCCTTACTACTTTTCTAGTAAATGTGCCTCAGACATATCCCTCACATCAGATAAGGTACTTGCTATTAAACGGCCTTTTATCATGTTTGATTGTGCAGCATGAATTAGATGTGTTTGCTACTTCTGCTGCTCTGTAACTTTAAAAGTTTATGGTCCACATTTATGACCACCACTTAGCACCCACTTTGGCTCTCAGTATCAACAGTCCTCGATTGAAAGGTTCTGTCATATATCCGTGAGTTAATACATGGTTTAAAGGCAATGTTGAGTATCTTCACAAAAACTTAAGGGAAACATAGGCATGGAACCTCACTCCCATACTCCCAAATAAATTCAAGGAGTATTGCTATATGATCCCTTACAAGTCCTGCACATCCATTTTGATATTCTCATTCCCATTCAGTGTCTCTTGCAGTTCTGTTTCCCTCCAACATAAAGAGGGAGGCTGGAAACTAAAGCCCCCTCCCTTCTAGGGAACTAGCCCATCTCACTAACTACCTATCTTCTAGCTTGCATTTTTCCTGTTGGCTCCAGCCATCTCCCTCTCCAGGCTGTCCGATGGGCTACCTTCAAGAAGACAGCTGGAGAGGGTAATGCCTGGACCATGAGCATTTTGCTGGGAAGCAGGAATGCAGTTTCAAATTGCCTCTGTTTGAAGTGGCAACTAGTAGCTGGGTCTTCTATTAACTGCACATGTACCTGAAGCACAAGATTATTTGTCTGAAAGGTGACAGGGCCTGTCTCCTCTCTCACATCATGACTTACCTGGTCTTACATGCATGCCTGGATGATTTTCTTTCATCTTGGCATCTATGGAGCCTGCTCAGCATGTGCAGTATGGAATCATGGAGCAAGAATAACTATGTTGAATCCCAAATTGTGCATAAGTGCCCAAAACTGCAGTTATGTGACTATGTGCCATGTAGGTGTATGAAGGGAAAATAGGAGCCATCATATATGCTTAGCCAAAGGAAAGCAGGCCTTTTTCATGAATTGCCCTGAAACATCCTTCTGTGGCCCATGGCTCTAGATTGGTAATAAGAACTTCAGCTAGCTCTGGACTCCTGGGGATAAAATCAAAATAATCAGATTAATTAATTCTGCTACCAAACTAGAGTAAAGTTTTAACTACTGGGCTGCCTTACCCTGCATTTTTTGAGTCACTACCCAGTTTTTCACCCTGAGGGAGAAGTCTGCTTTGGAAATTATTAGTCTGTGACAGAGTTATAATTGAGGTCACAAAATTTTTTCAATTATATCAGCTGCTAACAAGTGTTCACTGTAGGCTAGATTATGCCTGATAAAATAAAGGATACTGGGAAATAAAGCTGGCCATGTTCTGGCTCCAGCAACCAGGCTTCTTCACCTTGGTCCTCCAGCTTGCTGGAGATTATGGAAGATTTGTTAATTCTAATTTTTCTGATGTCCATCTACAATAATTAGAACATGGCTTTGATACAAGCTACTATATAGTAACATATACTGACTATGTATACTCTGCCTGCACAAATCAGCTCCTCCAGTACATTAATAATGTTTGCATCTCTTTCCTGTCTTCTCTTACCTATCTCACACCTTTCAGGTTTCAGGGTGCCTAGAGCTGAAATATTTCTTTTAGGTGCGATTGCCAGTCACACTATAAAGAGAGAGACTGCAATTTCTTTGTTATGATGCCTCTTTTTATGCTACTTGAAATCAGCTGTTTTTGTGGCTATGCTGCATTGTAGCATCATATCTCATTTTTATCTTTTATTCTGTAGAGAAGTTTCTTGGTGTTTTCCTCCTCAAAGTATTTGACTCCTTTTTTAGTTGAGGATTGTTTTTAGGATATACGAATGTGTGTGCTTGCTTTGAGCAACTTTCTCTGCCTTTATTTCTAACAATCGTCCCTCTGTACTATGTTTCTGCCTCTGTCTAGAAACATGGAGAATTCCCAATTTAGAATCATTGATATGATGTAGGTGGCATATTTAAAAGAAGGAAGAAATGAGAAGTGGTGTAGTAAGCTAATGAAATGCGCTAATGACGTGAAGAAGAAAAGATACCTACCGTGTGTCTTCTTGTTGCCATGGTAACAATGTCTCTATAGTGGCATAACTCACTCCATTGACCTTGACAAGCTGCAGACATCTTACTACCAAACAAATAATAAAAGCACTTTGGAGGAAACTCTGAATATATGATCTCTGAATACTGTTCTGTACTTAGAACAGACATGTCTACTGAGTGCTTGTTTTATCTGAATCAAGGTAATTTTGTAACTTTAAGTATGAATTCTGATCCCAGTTATCGCAGTATTGGAACATGTAACATTTGCCCCAAAGAGTAATGGCTAGTTCCCCGTAACTGGGTAAAAAACCAGGGCAGAATTCCTTTTATCATAGTTGAACTACTCTGGGCACCTGATTTGCTCCCTCATTAAATAAAGCAATGCTGTAGAATGTGGTAACTAGGACCTTGCCATCAGGTATGTGCCAGGGAAGTTCCAGTTCATGGACCGTTAGCACCAGGGATCAAGCTGGAATATAAAAAGGATCTTTAAAACTTATGCCATAAACTAAGTCTGTTCAAGGCACAAAATGAGGCATCCTTCACTGTAAATAGTGGAGATTTCAAAATATGATCCTATGCACTTTGCTGAGCTCTCAAACTTGGTTCCTTCTGAGCCAGGGATAAAGAGCACAGAGTTTCCACACCCCATACTGGTGGCCTGTAACAGGAGACCAGGTGGCTCCAGTTACTTTAGGAAGCAACTAAAGCTGACTATCCTGGATCAGGGAGGGCTGGCAGCTTGGAAGCAATCTAGCTGCTTACAAACCTGCTGTCAGCAAGCATATAGACTGCGAGATCTAGGGACCCAGAGACATGCATAACTAAGAGCTGAGGCTGAGAGAGCCCAACCCAAATCAGTGGGCCAGGGCTGAAGGCTTGCAGCCAGAGAAAAGG